TTTGTAAAGTTAAAAAAGAGTTGGATGTTCATATTCATTAAGGTTATTAATGTTCTCAATTTTAACAATACTAGGGCGGCTAGCGTGCGTGATAGCTAGCCATCTCAGGGAAGTTATTTGGTTTTGGTGTTATGTTATAACTTGAGTTGTTAGTGGCATTAATGAGGAAAAATATGTAAACAAATATTTGTTGGGATATAAATGTCCACACACTATTATTAAGAGTAAAATAATACGATAACATTAACGAGGGAAAATATGTAAGTGTAGACACCTGATTGTGTCTCCCAAAAACCAAACCCAGTGATGAGTACCTTTCACGTCTTTGATTATCGAGTTAGGTGAAGAGTTGAAGAGTCTCGTGAAAATTTCCCTTTAGCCTTGACCATTCCTAACCTTTCCTTAAATGTTTTTAGCCAAAAACATTTATTTTGTGTCTTTTAACCCAAAATCATTCATTTCGTGTCTTTGAAAATCATTCATTTCGTGTCCTCTTTCTAAAATCGTTCTAACCGATCTATTTTGATCCATAATCCTGGTCCAATAATTTCTTAGTTGGATGGAGTTTGGAAAGAGCTTTCCAACGATATATTATAAGCTCAAATTGAGATATAACGAATAAGCTATGGCCAAAATACTAAACTGAGCCCAAAATGAGCCTTGCCTACGACCTTATGACCATGTGGAGGGTCCATTAACCTTAACATCATTCCTAAACCAATTAGGATTTATTATAAGCTTCTAGAATGTTCTAATGCTCTACAAGATTATTTTAGATCCTAAATCACTTAAGATTTATTATTAGCTTCTGGAATCCTCTAGAAGGTTCTAATTTATCCTGTTTTTGAAAAGATCAAGATTTAAGAATTTTATATCGGATAAAACATTTGTTTTTCAATGATTTTAATTCTGGTAAAATTAGATTACCTACGGAAATTCGATTAACCCAATTTGATTGGAAGTCGGATTCCATACGGATTCTATCTTCTAAAAGCATAGTTGAGCAATAGAAATATCGTACTGCAATAAGCCTATCGCGCGGTGATAAATATATCACGTCGCGATAGAAACCTGTTTTACTCTGAGTTAGATTCTGACTCTTTTCTAAACTTCGACCCTCTTTTTTCCCTATAAATAGAGGTCGTTTTACCCCGTTTTCATTCACTAAAAATCATCATCTTATCCCCTCTCTAAGCTAAAGCTTTTCTCTCTCTCTTTCTTTCTAATCTTAGCCTAGCCTAAACACATCGCAACACCTTATTGGTATCATACACCATACCTCCTTCACGAGCTTCGAATACTCCTAACCACCCTTGTAGTTGCCTTCGGCCTCGACGTGAAAGGTTGATAGTTCTGAGGGTTTGGTCCCAAATCTATATTTCAACTCTTATTTGATTTATTTGTTTGATTTATATCTTTCTCGAAGTTACTAACGTGTATATTGTTTTGATGAAAGATATACAAAGCATCAAAGTGAGTAAATTTACTATCCTTATTCCTCGATTTTGATATAGAAATTATGTTAGGATGTTTATTTTGATTCCTAGTATCATGTTTATGGTGTTAATTAATATTTCTAATATCATGTTTTCTAGTATCGTGTTTAGGCTAATGCTTTGACTATGTTTTTTATTAGTGACATACTAGGGTTTGTTATTAATCCGTTTAATATCATGACTAGGATCTTACTATTGATATTTTTGATGATACTATTCTGATGATGATTTGTTGTGTCAATAATTATTATATGTTGCTTGATTATTCATTATTTACTGTTATTACTTAATCACGCCCTTTTCTTGCAGGTTTAAAGGGAATTTGTACTTGAAGTCACGCCTAATAAGATAATTAATAATTTGATTTTAGGCTACTATGATTTTACTTTAAGTGGTCACCAATAATAGGTTTGATTGTGCATTGATAATCAATCAACGTAGATTAAACAGGTTTAGGATTAACTTGATGTATGTATGTTGATCGAAAAGCGCACATGAATATCATAAGAATTAAGTAGAGGCCAATTTAGGGCGAGTTCAATCTGTTTTAGGTTAGATTCGTATCATTACCCCCGAATATCCAGTCATGGTTACAAACCACTATGGAGTTAGCGATCTCCGTGATCGTGAATGGGTGTAATCTTCACACCCATGAACGGTTTACAAGTTCCTATAACTTGTTGGCGACTCTTTTATCTTTAGCTTATTTCCCTTTGGACGCCACCATGCTTAAATGCATGATCACAGTAGGGCTCAAAGGTTGATGTTTGAAAAATTCCCTACAGTAAGTAAATATTTAGGAACATAATCGTCTGAACAATATTCATACAAGTGTGATCATACTTTTAAAAGGGGTAAATACGTAATTTAATATTTTTAGGGGCATAATCGTCTCAACACTATTCATAAGAGTTTACCCATGATTTTAAAAAGGTAGGGATATGCTCATAATTCTAACACTATTTTTTTAATGTACTTACTACTCATACTTATTTAATTTATATGCAATAAAAAGTACAAATGTTACTTTGTTCATATTCGGATAAGTGAATGTTTAATTGTTTATATAATATTTGTATGCATTATGTTTGATGTCTATGCAATAAAAAGTACAAATGTTATTTTGTTCACTTTCGTGTAAGTACATATTCAATTAATATTCGTATACATTATATTTAATGTTTATAACTACAATACCAAAAATATGTTCAATCATAAAATGTTCAATTTTGATATACTAAATGTTCTTTTTTCGAAACGAGGGACTAACCAATCGTGAGACTAGCCAAAAATTTGTACATAACAATTCTTAAATCATTCTACTATACTAGCCAAAAATTAGTTCTTTACCCATAAATAAAACCTAAAAAATTACAACATCATTGCCTGCAACATTCATGGCTTTAATTTTTTATTTGGATAAACTATAGCTATCAAGTGGTGAGGATATGGAGGGTGCTAATAGGGATATAAATCCAAGAGGACTTTAAATTGATCTAAACTATAGCTAGAGCTGAGCAAAACTATCTAAATATTCGAAAATTCAATCCATATTCGATCCGAAAATTATGTATAACTAATCCGAAATTGATTTTGGATCAGATATCCGATCTAAAAAAATCAGATATTAGATATCAAAATATTGAATTTCGGACATCTGATATCCGAAAAAAATTGGATATCCGATATCTGAAAAAAATCGGATATCGAATATCGAATATCCAAAAAAATACCCAATAATCGCAACACCAAGCAAACCTAAATACCCCCAAAGGCCCAAATACCTCTAAAGGACCAAATACCCAAACAAGCAAACCTTAAATTATTCCCTCAAAATACAACCCCTAACCCCACCGCCCCTCTAGCTCTTTTCTCTCCTCTATCTTCTCTCTCCTTTATTCTTTCTCTTTCCTCTCAGATCGTTATTGTTTCGGGGTTTTTTGGGAACCCCTCGGGATACATATCTTCAATGTGCTCAGACGACCGCAAACAACTGCAAAACAATGAATTTTCGGTATCGGAATATTCGCTTCCTACAGTTAAGTTAGTAACTGGAAAACGAAGGATTTTAGAGAGAGAAAGTAGAGAGAAGTTAGAGCCATTTAATATGCCTTGAATGGTATGCCTCTATCCACCCGTCCCATCATTAATGATTGGGGTATTTATAGGGTGGGAATGTGTGCCCTCTAGGGTTTAGTGACCTAGAATGGTGGGCGCTGATTGGCGGCGCAAACAGGTAAGGACACGTGTCCTTTGGGGGGTACCGTTTTGGGCGCATTCTCTCGGAAATTGGGCCTCGCCTCTTTATGTAATAGAGGCTTTGTCATGATTTAGGTGCTCTTATGTTGCTACGTTTCCTTTCCCTATTAGGACACGTGTTGCTCATTTATTGGGCCACGTGTCACTATGGGATAGAATCACATGGTGGGGGTATTATTACCCTAAACATTTGCCCCTCAGAGGGGGTGGCTCATACAACAAGGGTCGTCTCTAAAAAAAGCACTCGTACACATCTGTTCGTGCGCTTGGTAGGTCGGTTTTAATTATTTAGGCTAGTCGAACCCGACCGTCCGTCTGATTTTGGGATGCACTTGGCTGTCCGCTCTATGTTTGGTAGAGCATCATGTCCTGAGGTCATTCAGACGATATATACCGCCTGAAATTTGGCAAGACACTTGTCTTTTTCATTTTTCGGGCCTAGCGATTTGAATTCGTTTATTTGACCGTTTCTTTTAAAGAACCGTTTGCACAACAGTTTAACTTCCCTCCCTTTATTTACGGATTAGTTTAATAACCGTTTATGGTCTGTTCGTTTTCTTGAGTTTGCCGGTCTATTCTTTGGTGTTGGTGACTTGACCACTCAAGATCTTCAAATTACAAGTTTTTCAGATTTTCACTCGAACAAAGGTAACCTCCTGTTTTTCTTTTCTCCTTCCATTTCTTTTTATACATTAACTTGTTTTATTCTTTCAAACACGAACAGGCAAATAAATCGGATTCGTCTGTCTCTCCTCATGAAGTCGGCCGTTTGCCTAGGAGTGAGAAGTCTAGAGTGGATGGAGCCTACTCCTCTTCGCTGTGGAGCGACTTCATTTTCAGTGCGTTTCAACTCACCCCTACCCATTCTTCTCTGTCCCTACAGTCGAACATGGCGCTTACAAGGGCTACGTACGACCGAAATGCGGAGAAAAATTCAGACGGCCGCCTAGTAGATCCTCTTGTTCCTCTATGTCCAAAAGATTTGGACAGAGCATAGGCAAGTGGCAGTGCCTGCTCGGTCGTAGAGGTGACTGCCTCCTTGTCCGAGCGTCACTATGTTCACAGGAATCGTCTTCTTTATCATTAGCTAGAGATGCTGGAGAGGAAGAGAAGGCTAGAACGTCCGTTAAAAATCCTAGACGACGCTCTTCACAACATACCAGCTCGGACAGGCCGTCCGAGCTGCAATCTTCTTAAAGGCCTCCTTCATCAATTCGGGCGGACTCAAGGTCTAGTAGAGAGAGAATGGCCGCCCATAATCCTAAACAAAGCCCAACCCAAAACACCAGCTCGGATAGGCCGACCAAGCTGCTTGTCTATCACAGGCCATCTTCCAATATTCAGGCGGACATCGCTGCTAGTGCGGCCACCTATAATGTCAATGAGGGGTCCTCTCTTCCTACCATCTCGGTAACTGTGGCCGAGCACCCTTTTCATCATAGTCCCCCTTTACGAATTCAGGCGGACCCTGAGGCAAGAAGGAAGGATAAGGGAAAGCAGCCCTTGGCTCCAGAAGGTGTTGTACTTGCTCAGTTGGGTCAAGGCTCCAAGAAAGGCAGCTTAACAGTGGCTGCGCAGCTCGACACCGTACTATTGTCCTAGTTTGGCTCGGCTAAGAACGCCGAGCCACAAGCTATCGAGCGAGTTGATGAGGCCAAGAATCCGGAAACTGATCAAGCAGCCGAGGAGGCCAATGCGGTCAACTTTTATGACCCGTACGCCTGCCCCATCGTCGAAGTTGTCCTCAGCTTCCTTCACTCTAATTTCAAGGAATTAAAGAAGTTCCTCATGTTAAGGAGGGGATTCTCTATTCAACCGCCGAGGCGCTCTAACTCAGTGGCCGCCTAGGAAAGCAAGAGGCCCAGGAGTAAGAGCTTTAGCGTTTACCACGTTTTTTGGAGTTGGGGCTCTGCCTCCCCTTGCACCCTTACGTCTAGGAGCTGTTGGACGAGTATGACTGTAGGGAATTTTTATCTCACCCAACTTTGGGTCATGTTTTTAGGCATGACGGGGATCCTAGGAAAGAAAGAAAAAAAAAGTCGCCAACAAGTTTTAGGAACTTGTAAACTGTTCACGATTGTGAAGGTTACAACCAATTCACAATCATAGAGATTGCTAACTCCATAGTGGTCTAGAACCATGACTGGACATTCGGGAATGATGGTACAAATTTGACTTTCATAAGAGGTCAAACCCGCCCTAAAATAGGCCTCTACTTGATCCTTATTGATATTCATGCGCGCTTTTTGATCAACATACACACATCGAATTAATAATAAATCTCTTTAATCTATGTTGGTTGATTATTAATGCACAATTAAATCTAATATTTGTGATTTCTTGAATTTAAATCATGTTAAACCAAAATCCAATTATAAATTTTCTTATTAGACGTGATTTCAATTACAAATCCCCTTTAAACCTGCAAAAAGAGGCGTGATCAAGTAATAGCAATAAATCATTGATAATAAATCAACATATAATTAACATCATAATCATCATCATGAAAATATCGTTAGTAGTAAGATCCTAGGCATGATACTAAACAGATTAATAACAATCCTAGCATATTACTAATAACAAAATCAATGTGTTATCTTAAACATGATTTCTATCAAAAAGTAATTAAATTACTTACTTTGATGCCTCGACTTTCTTGCTACAAAATAATACACACATTAGTAAAATTCAAGAAAGTAAATCAGTAAAGTAATTAATTACAGATAGAAATATGGGTTTGGGTCCAAACCCTTAGAAATATCAACCTTTCACGTCAAGGTCAAAGACAATGCCGAGTATTGTAATAATCGGCTTGGAGTGCTCGAATCACGCAAAGGAAGTATGGTGAATGATTTAGATGTATTTAGGATGTGTTTAGGCTAATAGCATGGGTTTTTAGGAATTTCGGGTTTATTCTATTTGCAATTGAATTCTCTATATCAATCGAGTTCTTGAATTCTTTTTGTGTGTTCTGGAATCGGGGAAAACTCTTTGTCGAATGATCGAAAAAAGATCAGAATAAAAGATTGTGATAAAACTCTTTGTCGCGCTTGACGCGTTGCGATATGGTTGTCGTGGCGCAATTAACCTGTCGCTGTGCGATGGTCTATAAGATAGAAAAGCTCGTACGGAGTTCGTTTTCTAATGGTTTATCCCTGCAAAATATATCTGAACGTCTTCTGAAAAGTTAAGGATTATCATAAGAGTTTTATTCAATCTCAAACTCTTGATCTTTATCTTTTTGGGAAGGATAAATTAGAACCTTCTAGAAGATTCTAACTGACTTGGGCTAGGAATATAATCATATAGGGCCTAAATAAAACATTTGGACTCCATATAATCATTGGGTCATACTAAAGGTGAGCCTAGGCTCGGTTTGGGCTCGATTTAGTATTTTAGCCGTAACTTTTGATATGTAACTCGAATTAAGGCTTATAATATATCGTTGAAAAACTCTTTTTGAGCCCCATCCAACTAAACAATAATTGAATTGAGAAAACAAACCAAAAAAATCATTTTGGACGTTTTGGGTACGAGAGGAATATTTTTGGGTTTAAGGAGATGAAATGGATATTTTGGATGTAAAGTCATTTTGGGTAATGTTATAATTGGTCAAGGATTAGGGAAACTTTGCGCGACCCTTTGACTCTATGTCGAACTCGTCGATAACAATCGTGAAAGGCATTCATCACTAGGTTTTTTGTTTGGGGAGGCACAATCATGTTTCTACAGAAGCCCCCACTTTGACTGATTTTGGAGAAACGTAAGTTTTGAAAACGACAGTCAAAGTATTTCGAAAACTGAAGCGGTCCAAGAGGAAGTCGTCCGAAAGGACGAGGAGGGAGTGTCGTTCCTTGACCAAACAGCTGGCGACAACGACTCGACTCCGCATGTCGAGGACCTGACTAAGTCTTCTCGGCCAACCGAGGAGAAACCTCAACCTTTTCAGGAAGTCGGGGAGCAGTCGCAACTTTCTCGGTTCGCCGAGAAGCAACCACAACCACCACCTTCTCACTCGGCAAGTATATGATTGGCTCGTTGGTTTTTTTAATCTCATTTATATTGATCTAGACACTTATCTCATTCTTGTTCTTATCTGTGCAGATGTAGCCGAGGATATTTACGTCCGAGCGCCCGGCCAATCACTAACCGGGGCGGACAGAAAGGCAATTAGGGAGGCCATGGTGAAGGCCGTCCCTCTGAAGTAGTAAGACAAATTTTGAGGCATCCATGAGGGTTTCCTCGGACCCATGCTCAATTGCAGCGCTAAGGTAACGGGCTTGGCCAAGTTTCAATACTTAGTATATTTTTCATATTCTTACTTTTTGCTAACTCGTTTTTGTTCGGATAAAGCTATTCCTTTGGCTCAACGCATTTTTGGAATGGGGCTCAAATAAGCAGCAGCAAATTCAGTCAGCCTAGGCCAACATCTGAAGAATACAAGATGCCAACAATGGGGCTCTGTAGACACCTAAAATTGTCTCCCCAACCAAACCCGATGATGAACAACCTTTCACCGTCATTATTGGTCGGATTTTGTATTGAATCTACAGAGTGCTTAAAACCATAGCCTTAGCCCAACATTTCATTTATTTCACCTAAACCAATCCAGTTCCCCAAACCATAACTTATTTTTCTCTTTTCGTGTCCACACCACAAAACCGATAAAAAAAATTTTTGACCCATAATATTGATCCAAATATTATTTTATTGTATAGAACTTGAAATAAGTTTTCCAAGGATATATCTTAAGCCCAATTCCGATTTAAAATGAAGAACATATGAGCAAAACACTAAAACTTGGCCCAAAACCGACACCCTTTCACTAATACAACAATATATTAAAATCTACAAAAGATTTTGACCGAATTTTAATTGAGTTGGAAAGTATACTTAAAGATATTTCCAATGATATATTATGTACCTTATTTTGAGTTACGAATAAAAAGTTATGGAATGTGCCGTATCGCGGTACTAAATGCTGTGCCACGGTGTCGGTTCCGTGCTACGGTACCAAGATTTTCCCAAATTCTCTTCTTAACGCGCTTTCTTTCACGAAATGATTGAATTTGGTACCGTGCCACGACACCCAATATCGTGCCACGACACCTAGTACTGAGCCAGGGCACCCAGTGCAGTGCCACAATACCTTTTTCTTCAGCGGCGCTCGTTTTCTAGGGTTCCGGACTACATCCCTCGCATTTTTTCTATAAATACAAAACTCATTTACGAGTTTGGACAAAATCAACTCTACTTTAATTTAAATTAATTTAAATTATATTTATTATTATTCTTTGAAGTAACTAGCCGTTTATTCATGATGCACCAATTTAAAGAATCACGCAACGTGAGTATTTTATTACTCACTATTATTGTTGTTGTTGCTAGTATCATGTTTAGGTTTATTATTATACTTTTGATGATTTGACTTACGATATTATGGTTAAATTGCTTCCAATATTGTTGTTATTTATATTGATCATCATATTGCATGTTTAAAGGTAATATGTAATTGAAAATCACGACTAATAAGATAATTTGGACAACCGGTTAAGGTTCCTTTTTAATCTTATTGTTAATTCAAGTGGTCACCAATATTTAGAATTATGTGTGCACTAATATTCAACCAATTTTATTTTTTTTGAAGGAAACATTCAACCAATTTAGTCTAATTTAGTTTGGAGCAAATTGAATCTTTGTTTGTGTGCTTTTGAGATCGTAGGAAATACTTTTCGCTATAAGAATTGAGCAGAGGCCAATACAAGCGAATGTGACTCCATGACTCACTTCGTACCATCATCCCCGATCCTCCTTTTGTGGTTCCGAATCGTATGGAGTTAGTAATCTCATGGATTATGAATGGGGTGTAACCTTCACAGGTCAATCGTTATTGCCTATCATTGTCCCTTATTTGTGGTTGCCTTAAATGATATATGAACGGTTTATAAGTTCCTTAAAAAACTTGTTGGCGGATCCCTACTTTCCTTGTCCCTAATCGTATGATGTCAATTCCCACTTCCTATGATTTCCAAACATATTCACACATGCTTAAGTAGGCGCGCTTTGAATGATGCCTATAAGCTCTTTCCACCTAAGAGGTGACCCACATTGCTACTATCAAGGCCCTTGGAGAGAAGTTGGCTAGGTTGACTGACCAGATCGTCATCATGGGCGATGCCCTTTAGCGAGAAAAGTTGGCTCGCGAAATAGCGGAGCAAGAAAGAGATGAGGCCCTTAGTAAAGCTTTCCAATGGAAGGCTGACTTTGAGGAGTCCGAAAAGCTTAAGGCCGAGATGGAATCTAGCCTTCTGGCCCTTGATGCTGCTACAAAGGAGACAGACTCCCTCAAACTCAAGGTTAAATGTCTGCAAAAGGTGGTTGAGGACCTAACCAAGTAGCTTGAGGCTCCCAAGGAGGTCTCTCCACAAGAGATGGTCAGAATAGAGCATTCGGCTGAGACAAGGCTCAGTATCCGGTTTAAGGAGGCCTTCTGTATGATGTTCGAAATTAGTGATGTATTATATCACTAAGAACGTTTTGTTAGGATGCTAAACTATGTCTCCTTGGCTGAAGAGGCTGCTAATATTGGGAAGACCATCTCTCCTTTTTCTCCTACCCCATCATCTTCTGAGAGCGAGGATGATGAAGAGGACGAAGAAAAAGAGGACGAGGAGGAAGAGCCAGCCAAGGATGGAAACGACAAGGGGCCGGCTGAATGAGGTGCTTGGGCGTCTGCTACTACTTCAGCTACCTTTATTTGCTTTTATTTGTTTTTAATTTGAACATATTTATCTCTACTGCCTGTTTGAGCGGTCTTGTAATTTAACTATTTTAATTTTGGCCGCCTATTTAAGCGGCTTTACTTTGTGAAAGCTTCACTTTTTACTTAGCATTTCTTTGCAATTCTTTCATGCTTTTATATGCCTTTATGCGTACAATTACTTAAGTCTGACCTGGGGCATGCCCCTTTATTCATCATTTTGTCTATTCCATATTTAAGAGGTTTGATTAACTTAGTAGATTTTATACCTTAAAGGGTATAACGACTACTGAGAGTTGATGAAATCATAATAATGAGTTCCCTTGGATTAGGCAAATGCCAAATGAATTATCCTTGCCTTTGTCTGTGTTGATTCGTCCATTGATGCTGTCTCTTAACGGAGTCACGAAATTTCAAGTGTGATTTCAACCTCATAAATTCTAAGTTTCAAGGGGCTTATTTATGCCCTTGCCCTTGGACTAAGTGCCTTAGGCAATTTAGTTTGTCCGTTAGTTTACCCATCCAGCTCATTATTTGGCCGGATGGAATTTGGGCTTGGGGTCTTATTCTACTAGATCGACCATGGTGGCCAATTACCCTAGTAGTCATGCCCTTGTCTTCGGCTGAGCTGCCTTGTTGGGAGAGCCCTTGTTGGGTTTTTCTCCCAGCATTTTAGCCTTGCCCCATTCTAGGGCCGAGCTGCTATGTTGAAAGCAACCATCGTTTGCTATTTTAGGCGGCATTGTTGCTTGGCATTAGATGCTTGAACATATATGCAAGAAATTAAATAGAAAGAAAATTAACAATGTATGACATTTCATTAACATCTGTCAAGATTACATTGTTTGGCCGTACGTCTTTAATTACATAGCTCGGTCATTGGACCTAGTTGTTGTTAGGTTTTGTAGTGTCCGACACCGCGTGGAAACAAAACCTGCAAAAGGATCTCATGCATAATTACTACAACATAACAACATAGCATGCAATTAATGAAAACATAAACACATAAAAGGAAAGAGAGAGAAAGTAAGGATAAGAGTAGCTCAACCTTGACACGTCCTTCGCTTGTATCATGAGCTTGGACTCGGAAAACCTCGAGCCTCGCAAGTGCAATCCCTCCAACGTATCACACCCTCGTGCCCGAACCAGCCCTTACCCCGTAGCTTAGACCGGGCTATACCAAATAAAGCTAGAGTATTACGAACTTAAAGGCTTTCTCACTTTAGGGAGATACCTTATTTAGTGCAACTCAAGTGAGTAGTTCCATTAACCAAGGTGGGCATTTATAGGGAAATGCTCCCTAAAGTTTCCATCAACTTTCCATGTGGGAGAGTTGTTGAAATGAGAAAAATGAATGAATTAATTTAATTCTAATTTAAATTAAATGGCACAAGTAATAAGTAAATGACAAGTGGCAATGTAAGGAAGGGGTTAGGTAAGGACCAACACCCCTTCCCTTGAAGAGCAAGCAAAAGCCAACTCACTATAGTCAACCAAGAGAAGACCGGCCACATGCCTTGGGCCTCAAGGCTTGCCTAGCTAGCAGCCTTACCCTCGGCTGGGCCTGCTAGCATGCTACAAGCCCACGCAAGCTAGCGGGCAGCTGCTAGGCCTGCTCACGTGCTTGCGGGTTGGTGCTAGCGTTGCTAGCATTGGCCTGCTGGCATGTTTGCGGGTTGATGCTAGCGCTGCTAGCTCGCCCAACACAACAATGCTCGCAAGGCCATGCGCTGCTAACTAGCTTGGCCAGCGCACATGCGTGGCTGCTTGGCTTACGGCCGAGGCTAGTCCATGGCTAGCAGCCATGCTGGCTAATGTTGCCTAGTCCTCGATTGGCTAGGCCAACTCGAGGCTTGGTCTTTTTGCGATGACTTGTCATTTGACTTATTTTCTCGTCTCGTCAATTTCATGAAACGACTAGTCGTTCGACGCTCAGCTTTGACGCTCTAAGCTCGGATTCCGATGTCTTAGTTTGTAAAATCTCTATCGATTTATTTAATCCTTCGGATTAATTCGTCGCATTTGTTTGGTTACACGATTGGGTGTGACCCGAAGGGTTCAGTCAAGAGCAAGCTGTAATATTAATTATACATTAATATTATTGATCGGAAGTGGCCTCCAACTAGGCAGTCCGATCACTTGACCTCACTAAATAATTATCTTTCCTAATTAATTCCGAACCCTCTATCGGAATAATGCACTTGTTCAAAGGACACCATGCCTTTCAATCTCCCACTAGTCCTTCCGGATAAGTGTGCTCTATGTGTATTGCCTTTTCTTATGTCACTTAATGCCCCTTCATTAACTATAAGGTAAGATTCATCGTCATTCTTATTACTTCTAGAAGTGTTTCTCAATTTCCGAGTTCGACTGTCAATAAGCAGATAATTTCTAAAATCCATCTGAGCACGGCCATGCATTTTCACAGTCTCGCTATTCGAGAGGCCTTGTAAACAACAAAGACATATTCCCTACTGTTAATAGGGGGACATTCCCAGTCTTGCATTGTCAGCTTCCCTTACTAAGAGGCCCTAGCCGCCCAAGTGTTGCCTTTATAATCCCCTTGTACGGCAGACGTTTGACAACATCAAAACCGACTAGTACTCAAATAAGAGAACTGACAATACTCATGGTCAAGGAAAGAGGTTTCGATAGCCATAATGAGTAATATACTTATGACGATTGTTAAATCTCTTAAAGGATTCTCATAGGTTGATCCGGTATAGTTCCAAACTAATACCTGTGCAAATGATTTATGACAATCTTATCCTTGTAGCACAAGAAACAGTGCTATAAATCATACTACACACTAATCTCGCGCGATCATTAGTCGTCCAACATTTAAATGACCTCGATTAGGGATAGTTACGATATAATATTCAATATTCACTTAATAGGTGTTTCTTTATCCAAGACATTTTCTTGATACCTTATTTTGAATATCGTCAAATCGAATGGACTCATTATTTAATTCTAAACCACAATTAAATAGTTTGTGGAATTATTAGTAAAAATTTCATTCCACTATGAAACTTTTCAACCACTACGCGAAAAAAGGTCTTTGGCATCGGTTCAAACCTCCCTTTGGGCACCGGTTTTGAACCGTTGAAGATTTGAGGGATGCCAAATCTCTGAAAATTTGACACCGGTTCAATACCGGTGGCTATTTAAAGATTTGGCACCGGTTAACTGGTGCTAAATACCCTCTTCGGCACCGGTTAACCGGTGCTAATTACCCATGGCGCGCTTTTTTTTTTTAATACAATAGGCACCGGTTATGACTTAGAATCGGTGCCAAAAGTCCCCAAAAAATTTTTTTAAAAAAACTTTTAGCACCGGTTCTTTTCCAAAACCGGTGCCAAAAATGCCCAAAAAAAATTATTTTTTTTTTTTTGCATTTTTTTCACTTAAATTGTACCAAATACTTATATATAATCATAATATACATAAAACACATATATTTTCTTCAATAACTTGTAATATTACACCTTAAAAAACTGAAAAAAAAAAACACTTGAGATTTCAGTTGAATGCTGACTAGTACATCAAGAAAAACATAAATTTAAACCAGAAAGGACAGATTCTCAAACAAACTGTTACCATCTCCATTGGTCACCGGTGAAATTCCAATCAAGCAATTGATAGCAGTAGTTTTACCGGCTCCATTGGGGCCCAAAATACAAAATAGCTGATCCTTAGCAAGATTCACCCATATTCCCTGGAGAAATCGACAAATAAATCTCAGCAGCCAGCAACAACTCAAGGCATATACTAAATGAGCAACAAAGACAGCAGAAGAATGAAATACTCTAGACTTCCATTCACCAGCACCAGTAGGGTAAGGGAATGTTATCCTAATAGAAGTATGGATGCTATGAACCATAATTGATCACTTAAAATGTGATATCACTTAGCCCTAAAATATTAGGTCAAGAATATATATGTTTGACTTACTGAATTGCACATTTATAGCACTAATATTGTCAAAAATTACATAACCATGCGATTCAATCATGATAAAATCCACTAATGTATAATATACAGGCTAACAACTAGAAAAATGATCATCATTGTTATGAATTCATCATTACATCAATATTACCAATGAAACCTGTTTGATTTGACATCGACGCACTTTGACAGAACAACATTCAGATAGAGGCTACTAAGTTCAGAAAATAGTTTTTCAGGTGAAAAATTAGTCGTTGTTGATCAATCAAATACTAACCATGTGTTTGCTAAAGAATGTGAGGATGCTTTTAATGACAAATTTACACTCCCACTTCACCAAAGTCAAAGCGATCAGTTCCAAAAACATTTACATTTTTTCATAAGAGGCAAGAAGAGCAAAAACAGTGAAACTGCTACTTTATCCCAGGCAATACTCATATCCTAGCCAATGTAAATTAGGAAATAACTAAACAAGAAATGACAAGGTAATAAATTTAATCATGTTCAATCTCTCCCCTCAACTAATGTAGATGGTCTGACCACATAAGCAAAAACATGGAGTCAAAAATCATTTTATTGAGGAACGGTTGCTATACCATTTTAGCATAACTTTAAAAGGTAATATTTAGGCCTCAAGGAAAAGAAAATTATAGATATGTCTATGCCATGCAATTAAGAATTCAATCTAAGACTTAAAAAATAGCAACACATGATGATATCAGATAAATAAAGTAGATAGGACTTGCCTTGTCTTGACCTCCGACATCCCCCACGGTAAAGCTAATGTTCTTGTATTCCACAGTCTCCACATTAAATCCTGTAAACACATAAGAACAAGTTCCAAACACATTATACACGACCGAGTATATGCAAAAAGCATCAACAAGTCCAAGACATAAGATCAGACCAATACCAAAAAACTAAACCGGATATGCCAAGATAGTTCTTTTTAGGAGTGTTATAAGGAGGACAAATAAAGGATAAAAAGTCACTTCTCTTTGGTTACAA